TATTCCTTTTTTTTAAGTTAGTTTTTTTGAGACAGGATCTTACTATGTAGTTCAGGCTCACCTTGAACTCACAGCAACTCTCCTGCCTGAGCCTCCTAAGAGCTGGGATTACTGGTATGCACCACCACACTTGGTTAAAAAAAATAGAACCTACATTATATTCCTAAATCACAAATTTAAAAAACATTATGGGGTGGGAGGGTATAACTCAGTGATAGAACACTTGCCTAGCATATTTTTGTTTTTTTGTGGTAGTGGGACTCGAACTCAGGACCTTGTGCTTGCCAGGCAGGCCCTTATGCCACTGAGCTATATCCCTGGTCCCCCACCTAGCATGTTTTTGGAAACTATCTCAATACTCATTATAATAGATTTCCTTCGTAATCCTATGTATTTTACTGAATACATTTTTTTTTTTCTTTTTCTTTTTTTGGTGGAACCAGGGATTAAACTCAGGCCCTTGCACTTGCCAGGGTAGTGCTTATTCCACGGAGCCATCTCCCAGGCCACTTGAATGCACTTTGGAAACAGCACAGTGAAAACAGTAGTCTGCAGAGGGAGTCATCACACACCCAAGCAAGGACACTCTGAAAGAAGTATCTTAGACGGGGCCTGTAATCCAAGCATTTGGGAGGTTGAGGCAGAATTTGAGGCTAGTATGGACTGCATAATGACTTAACAGCCAGTCTGAACTGCATAGTGAGATACAAAGTAAAATGTCAGTCAGGCGAGGTGGTGCACACCTGTAATCCCAGCACTCAAGAGGCTGAGGCAGGAGGATAGCTGCAAGTTCAAGGCCAGCTGAGGCTACATAGTGAGTCCAGGCCAGCCCAAACTACATAGCAAGACCCCATGTAAAAACAAACAAACAAAAATAAATCTTTTTTCGGAACCAGGGATTGAACTTAGGCTCTTGAGCTTGCCAGGCAAGCGCTTATTCTACTGAGCCGTCTCCTTGGCCCCCAAAAATAAATCTTGAAAGAGCGGGTGTGACCAGGCCAGTACTCTGGGAGGGGCCAGGGTGAGGAGCCCGGAAGAGCAGGGAGAACAGGATTTTTTCAGCCAGCCTGGGACCTCCATTTCAATTCCACCTCACCCTCTTTCTTGTTTATTACGTCATGACACCCACCGCAGCTCGCAGCGCGGAGCCCAGGACAGTAGACAGGGACTCCTCCATTCAGAAGCTGCTTCTCAGACCAAAGCTCAGCACTGAGCCCTCCTGGGTGCTCCACTTGGGCCCTAAGCTTAAAACCCTCTCGGAAACGCCCTTCCAGACTGAAGCAGGACATTCTCTCCCTGGGAGTCTGCAGGGAGACAAGGGAAGAAGGAATTAACATTTCTTTTTATAATACCCTCTCATTTGTCAAAGAAAGTGACCATCTGAAGCCGCAGCTTGTGCTGTCTGAGGGGGATGCCTGTTTCACAGCCTCGTTCTCACGGGCCCGCCGTGCGCCTGCCGCGTGCAGAGCCTCCGAGCCGGAGCCCCGTGGCAAGCGACAGTCCGTGCGTGGCCCGGCGTCTCAGCCTGTGACTCATCGCCTCGCCCGTGGGCTTCCTTAACAAGCTCTAATTTGGGAGCAGAGCAGAAGAGCCGAAATGAACTTCCCTGCTGTCTCTCATCACGGGTTACTCGGAGTCCCGGGCCCTGCGTACAGGGAGTTACAGGCGGCGGACTCGGGGTCACCCTGCTCAGACAGGGATGTGCCTGGACCATTCGAGAGGATGGATTGAGGCTGGAGGCCACATGGGCTCAGAGAGTTACTTTTATTTGGATTATTCATCAAAGAGAAACCAGAGGACCAGGAGGAAGTGGTAAAGAGCAGAGTTGACAAGAGACAGCTGTGCAGTGCGGGGGAAGTGTGACCCGTGTACCCCTCGCAAGAGGGACCTGGGTGGAGCTTACGTGCACAAGGGAACCTAATTTTCCCCATCTATACCCCGTTATACCATTTGAGTTTTGGACTAAGTGTATGTATTACTGATTTAAAATGATTTTTTTTTTTACAGTCACACATGTCAAATAAAAGATAATATGAATGTAACAGGAGTTTAATAAATACAGGTTAGATGTAAACCACTGTGCTGTTTCTGGAACTAGCATTCAGGGACTGTAGTGGCTCGATATGCCAAGGGCCCTTTGGTAATCCCTGTTCTACAGATCGTAGCAAATGGAGGCTCAGCTAGGAAGGAGGCGGGCACTCTTCCCAGAGCTGCTGGAAGCCAGAACCCTGCTCCTCAGTGGGGACCACCCCGCCTTCCTCCCTGGGGCGTGCAGTTGGAGGCACCAGATGCTCTGGCAGGATTCAGAGAGATGCCATCTGCGAGGGAAACCTATTCTTAGAGAGCAGAGACAGTCGGTGGCAGAGCCGGCCAAGCCCTCCTTTGGGAGGGCAGGCAGCCAAGGCTCCACCTTCAGCTGTGGGGTCGGACAGGCTAAGAGCAGGGTGTGCCCAGTTCCTAGGAGCACGCTTCCTTGTACATATTCGGGCAGTGCCACAAGCGACAGCAGCACTTACTGCCTGCTCACTTCGTGTGTGGCACTGTTTAATCCTCCGGCCCCCCATGAGGTACGCACTATGACACTACCTGTTTACAGATGCAGAAGCTGGGGCACAAGACAGGTGAGTCCCTTGTCCAAGGAAACAGAGGGGCCAGGCCTGGGGCAAGCACTCCAGTCCCCAAGCTCATGTCCCTAACCACCCCATGACACAGTCTCTCCCCCTGCTGTAGCAGAGACTGAGTCTAGTTTCAATTCCTCAACAGCAGATGTGAAAAGGAGGATTTCAGTGCAAGTGGTTTACGTGATCAGCAATCCCAGGAGGCACTGGCAGTGAGTGAGGTGGGGACAACAGGGAGGCTGTGTTCTCAGCTAGTCCTACTGAGTGGAGGACCTTGGGGTTATCCGTGGCACCTATCGGTCCTTGGCTGAGGACTGCTCCAAGGGACAAGTTAATTCTCCAGCGCCTTAAAACCTGCTATAGGGGCCGGGGAGATGGCTCAGTGGAATAAGCGCTTCCCTAGCAAGCGCAAGGGTCTGAGTTCAATCCCCCGTTCCGCAAAAAAAAAAAAAAAAAAAAAAAAAAAAATATCTGCTGTAGGGTGGCAAAGCAGGCACCAGGGGCAAGTCGAGTCCTCAGGCAGGAGGATATGGGGGGCAGCCACTGGAGAAGTTGCCAATGCACGGGGAGTGGTAAATTAGAGGGCACAGAGGCCAGGTGCGTTAGAGGAGTGACATGTACCTCTTCCCTCCCTACAACCTCCAGAGTGAGTAAAAGGATCTCCAAGATTAAGTACTCCAAGTTTGGAGTAAATTGCTGTGAGGAGAACACTGCGGATCGCACCTCAACCACCAACAGCTCCAGGGCACACTGGTCACAGGAGGAAAATAACCATCAGCTCCATCTCATCACTCAGGGTGAGGCTCAGCTAGGGCCCCCCAGCCCAGTGAAGCCCCTTGGGCCCCACTTCAGGCCCTCTAGATCAGAATCTGAATTTTAATAAACCCCTCAGTGACTCCTGTGCACACTTCTATTAACTTCTCAGGGGAAAAAAAAAAAAAAAAAAACATGCAGGGGGCAGGGGGTGGGGGACCTGAGTTGCCCAGGCTGGTCTCAAAGTTGTGATCTTCCTGTCAGTCTTGGCAATAGCTGAGATTACAAGCATGCATCACTGCTTCTGGTTGCAGTGATATATAATAATAATATATAATATTATATATATATATATATATATATATATATATCCCAGTATCTCTCCCCCAAATTTTATATATATATATATATATATATAATTAGATGTATTAATTTGGGGGAGAGGTACTGGGGATCAAAGCTAGGGATGGCTTACTTTTGAGTTACATCATCCCCAGCCTCCTCAACCTTTAAGAAAATTTATTTTGAAACACAGTCTTGCTAAATTGCACAGGTGGGTCTTGAACTTCCAAGTCTCCTGCCTTAGCTTCCCTGGGCTCCGTATATTAACAGAAGTATTATATAACTCTTATTCAGCTCTTAGCCTGAATCTCAACTTGATAGCCCTTGGACAAATGATGTGTCGCTCACAGACACACCTGTGTGGCTCCAGAACACCTGATGGCTCCCCTGGGCGCCAGGCCCCTGCATCCTGTCACCCCCACCTGCACAGTGCCCGGGCATTTCACTTTTGTCCCTGCAGGCATTGGCCTTTGTGTCCCTCTCCAGGTCAGATCCTGTAAGTAGCTTACATTTGCACAGCAGGGGTTAGGTTTTAAATTTTAAAACAAGGCACTGAAAAAAAAATGAGCTTTGAAATAAGACACAGCTGGGTTCAAAATCGATTTTGGCTATCATAGCCCCTTCTCTGACGCTCATCCTCAGTTTCTACATCTTTAAATTGGCCACAAAAATAAAACCGAGATTAACACACACACTTGTACTCATTGTACAGATTAAAAACTGTATGTGCAAAGCACCCAGGAGGAAGTAGGAATTCACTAAATTGGAGTCATTAGTAGTAGTGGCAGTAATTGTAGTGGTAAGAGCCCAATTTGCACACCAGTTATTATGATTATCCTCATTTTATGAGAAACTGAGGCTCAGAGGGGTCAAGACCTCCTCCAAGGTTACACTTAGATGGAGTAGGGACTCAAATTCATGTCCCCCAAGCTCCAGGCCCACACAGTGCACTAGAACTTTCTGGAAGGGTAGAAATGCATCTGTGTTGTCCAGTATTGTAGCCCACAAGTCACACATGGCTACTGGGCCCTGGACATGAGGCTGGTCCAAATCCAGGTGTGCAGAAAGTATAAATTATACACCCAATTTTGAAGACTCAGTATAAAAATAAAAGAATGTAGGGGCTGGGGAGATGGCTCAGTGAAATAAGCGCTTCCCTGGCAATCACAAGGGCCTGAGTTCAATCCCCGGTTCTGCCAATAATAATAATAATAATAATAATAATAATAGAATGTAACTCATTAATTTTCTATATTAACCACATGTTCAATAACAGTATTTTCAAAATATTAGGTTAAAAATATGTAATTAAGATTAACCTCATTCGTTTCTACTTCTTTCTCCCAGTGCTAGGAATGGAACCCAGGTCTAATACATGTTTGGCAAGAGCTCTATCACTGGTGATGTAGCCCCAGCCCTAGAAAACTTTTCATTACATATATGACTCATGTTGTGTTTCTTTTAGGCAGTGAGGTTCTAGAACCTCTTCAGTACATACGAGAAAAGGAACTTGATTTTTTTAAGCATTTGCAACCCACAGCCCACCAGCAAGGAGTCCTGTATTATCCAAGGACAGTGGAAGACCCAACACACTCACCAGAAAAAGACCCTACTCCCAAGGTATTCCTCAAGCTCCCTCCGGGACCCCTGAGCCCCAGAGCAGAGTGCGACTTGCGTAAATTAGCAGCACAGCTGGATCCAAGCCCAAAACTCCTCAGGTAGATTTCTCCACTTTTCATACCATCCCAAAGTACCTACTGGGAACATCAGTGCTTTTACTTCAGCAACTGGAATCCTGGACTGATGCGAGCTGGAGTGTGAGGCCACAACTTGGAGAAGGCAGGGTCCTCTGGGAGGGTTTGCATATGGAGCCAGACTTCCAGCCACAACTGGCCATGGCCTCGGCTCCAGGCTGGGTAGAGGAGCCCCCAGAGACACTGCAGGCCCTGTTACTTGGAAGGTTGGCTCTTGTTATACAGGAGGAAGTCCGAGATGTCATGCCACACATTGCTGTCCTCATAGAGGTAGGTCATGGAGGACTGCAGTGAAGGCTGCAGCGTGTGCCGGTGGTACTCGAAGAGCCACAGCACAATCCCCCAAATCACCCCGGTGTGCAGAGGGAACAGGTCCCACCTGGGCTCAGGGATGTAGCCCTTCTCCACGCCCAGGCGACACAGGGCAAACAGGACACGTGATGTCAGGTACATGTTGATCTGCAGGAGGGAATGAAGGGGGTTACTGGGGAACCTTCAGCTTCCCAGCCCCACCACCTGGGGCCTCTCCTGTGCACTGGCTGGGTCTCATTCTCTCTCCCTCCCTCCTTCCCTCCCTCCCTCCCTCCCTTTCCTTTTTAGGCTGGCTTTGAACTCAACTATGTAGTCCAGACTGGCCTCAAACTCCATCATCTTCCTCAGCCTACTGAATGCCAGGCTTTTTGCAAAGCTCATATACAATATGATTCAGGGTAGTATGTAGCCGACATTTTAATATTTCTATTTGTCTTTTATCATTCTTTCAAATTAGAAAATTTAAAAGGAAATACATTTTACATGGTTCAAGGTCAAAAGGTGGGCTGGAGAGATGGCTCAGTGGTCTAAAGCACCTACTTGAAACAAGCTTGGCAAAGCACAGGGACCACGGTTCGATCCCCAGCACCACATGCCAGCCAGCCCCGCCCCCTGGTGGGCTGAGCTGGCCACACACACACACAATAAATAAAAATAAATAGGGCTGGAGA